TGCCACATTCTCTCTTCAGATGCCACAGCGGTACCCAGGAGCCAAAGTTTCTTTCCAGATATCACAGAACTGCCTGCTCCCGCAGGAGCCTCTATCTTTATTTCCCACTGCCGCAGCAGTGCCCGCTCCCGCAGGAGCCTGTATCTCTACTTCCGTAGAAGCCACATTCTCTTTTCAGATGCCGCAGCAGTGCCCGCTTCTGCAGAAGCCACATTCTCTTTTCAGATGCTGCAGCAATGCCCGCTTCTGAAGAAGCCACATTCTCTTTTCAGATGCCCAGCAGTGCCGGCTTCTGCAGAAGCCACATTCTCTTTCCAGATACCACCGCAATGGTTCTGATCCAAGCGACGTCCAGCACCCCACCAACCTTAAGCTCTGCAAGTTTTGGGGGGGTTATCAACGCCCCACTCTGGCTGCTGTCCGGGTTCGGGAAGAATTACCAAGCTCGGAGCCCTCTCCCAGGACAGCAAGTTCAAGTTCAAGTTCAAGTTCATTTTATTAGCACATTTACAGCAGCCGCTAGGCTGACCAAAGTGCTTTACAGAAGAGAAATATATAAAAACATACACAGAGAACAGAAGAGTCAAGTGAAGGCTTCTTAAGTAGGGGAGTGACTGTAGCCACTTTAAGACTGACAGGGACAGCGCCAGTTTGGAGACACTTATTGATAAGAGACACCAAACCAGGTCCAATTGAATCAATGATTAATTTTAAGAATCTCGGGTGAATAATATCGTTAGAACAAAATGAGGGTTTGAGCTTGTCAATCACCTCCTTCAATGCCTGGAAATTGATAGGTTTGAAGCAGCAGACGGCAAGCCAAGCGCACAGGCGCCATCTTTTTCAATAGCAAGCCAAATACGCATACCATTCTTCCTGCTTTATTATCACTTTATTATCTGTAAGGCGAACTCATGAAATTGTTTTATTAACAAAGTTCGGGAGGAGCACGTTCAGATAATTAACCTGGCCAATTCATCATCAGCAATTACACCATCTATCCTATCAGCTCGAGAGAGAACTTCTATAAATAGCCCAAGCCATATTACTTTCATTCTCTCTACAGTATTCCAGCATCCCTCCACCACCCCGACACCTCACCATCGGCCCGTTCCTACACCAGCACGGGGGGGAGCACTCGGGGAGAGCTCAGACCCCTCTCCCCGGACAGGGGGAGTACCCCGGATTCGGGG